AAGTGAACTTTGATCTCAGCTCTGCCTTCATCCTCCCAGCCGACCACAGTGGTAAAAGTATGAGCAGCTCTCAAACTGCAGGTTATAATTTTCTAAACGGATTCTATAGTTATGACTTATTTATAAAGCCTCATACACACAGACAGCAAAGCTATTATGAGTGTCCACGCTGGACAGAAGGAGTTATTAAAACTTACACGACTTAAACCAGGGTTTGGTTTGTCGTTGTGGCTTTAACCCTTTGACTGCCCCACCAAGAAAAACCTAATGAAAAAATTATTTGTTTGTATTTTCTATTCCTTCTAGTGAATAATGATCACAATCAATATATTTTTTTTATACACACTTCATAGTTTTTTAATTACTACCCTCTACCAAACGGTTGAGATGTGTCTCTATGGTAAAAGTAAATAAAGTAAAATAGACATAACAACTAGGGGAAAAAAGGTCAGCATTATACTCTTTTTGAAATAAAAATAACTACTCAAAATTTTTACCCACTTTATTTTGGTAGTAAGACACCAAACAGATTCCATTTCAACTTTGGAAGTTATTCTAACAAAGTGTAAAAAAAAAAAAAATACACAAATAATGATCAGAAACATTTTATACAAATACTGTAAAAAATGCTCAGAACATGCAAGTTTACTTCTGACCTTTCATTGTAGTGTTGAAACAGCATAAACATTTTTTACTTTCCATAAAATTCTGAAAGTATCCTATTCACCATTTCCACTTTGCACTGGAAATTAGAGAAGAAACTGAATTTTTTCAGGTTCTTTTCTTTTCTCATTTATGATGCAACTGCACCAATGCCTCCTGATCATTACAACCTCTGGTGGTACACTGCAAAGCATTCCTGATTTGCATTCAAGCACAGAAAAACATTGCATTTCTGGCATTTCCATCTTGACACACCCTTTGGACAATAACTGCATCGGCCTCGCTTGTCACAGTGAAGTGGCCAATGCCCACAGCTGTCGTATCGCACATCTGGTTGTGGTTGTGAGGGTCTTGTGATGTGGCGTTTCTTTGATGGGGGTGGAGAGCTGGATGATGGTCGGCCAACTTTGGATGCTGGCTTGTTGACTTGTTTCAAGCTATGGGCAACTGCAAGGCGGAATCTTTTCAAGGAGATTGGTTTCTGATTCAGTTGTCCACACTCCCTTTTGTAGACCAGCCAGGAATTTGTAATGCATAGATCAAGCACGTACCCAAAGAGTGGTAGGTACCATCTTGTAGACTTGGCTGGGGTCTTGTACAGGTGTACCAGCATGTCCGAGAGATCAATCCCTCCCATATGCTCGTTGTAGGCATGGATGAGTGATGGGCATGGGATGGAAATCTTTGCCTTGGACTCTTTGCTCCAGCGTTTGACAGTTGACAATGGCATGACCCCAACGGCATTACTCAGCAGATTCACACATTTGTTGTCAAACCATTTTACTGCGATCACCCCTTCAGCAGCCTTGTAGTCAAAAGCTCCACGCCCTTTCTTTGTCAGCTCTTTGTCTGTCATCAAAGTGGCTCCACCTGTGCGATTTGGTCGAACAGTGCCAATGCATTTGACACCCAACGATGTGTCCAGGTACTTCACCAGTTTAAAACTGGTAAAAAAGTTGTCACAAAACACAACAGAAAGCCTGGGCTGTGTTATGGTTTTACAAAGTGTTGTCACCACTTTGGCTCCCAAAGGTAACATCTGCTCCTCTTCACTAAGGGTAGTGTTGAAGAATGTGGAAGCTCCCTGATAAAGCAGCAGGTCATGAATGATGCCAGATGAACTGGCTCGGCAAAACAATTTAAAGCCCCACTTGTGTGGCTTGTTGGCAATATACTGACGGAGATTGCCAGCCCTTGTGCCTTTATAGGCTACCATGACCTCATCCACGCTGTGCTTATATGTTGATGGTATCTGGAGGCATTGCTCACGAAGCATGTCAAAGAGAGGTCTGATTTTGTTAAATCGGTCTCCACTGTTATTACACTGCTGATTATCGTTGAAATGAATGAACCGGCGCAACAGCTGGAATCTCTTCTTTGGCATGATATCGGCTATCACACTGAAACGTGACTCATGGTGCCAGTAATCTTCTAGTGATGGAAAGTTGAAAACACCCATAAATAGGAGGATTGACAGAAAATCTTCTATTTCCTTAGGGCTAGTCTTGATTGTGTCCCCCAACTCTTGAGCAGAATACAGATTGGTATGATAAGCAATATGATCAATCATTTCATCAGTGAAGAGCATTTTGAAGTACTGGAATGGGGACTGTAGAGCCTCAGGGGGCTCAAAACTTACTGCTGGAACTTGCAATTCTTCAATGTCTTCATGCTTCCAGATTCTTCTTGCATCTTTTTTGGGGACTGAGAAGGAATATGGGTATAATGTATCCTCTGCTTCTTCCAAGGGAACAGTTTTTAGGGTGCGTTTCCTTTTTTTGCTCTTTTTACGAGACAACTGTGTTGATCTGCTTGTTGAAGGAGCTTCTTCTTCCATGGAAACATCAACATAGCTTTCATCACTATCATCTGCAAAATTGGGTTGAAAATCTGGATCCTCTATAGGGTCATCATCACTCAGTTCACCATCAGAGTCCTGAGAATTTTCAGGCACAAGGGCCAGAGAAGTGTGTTGCCTTGTTCCATAAAAGGATTTGCAATCCATCTATTAAATGTAAAAGAAAAGGAAATTGTAGGTGTTGTAGATGGTTTTGTAAAATTCAAATAACTGCAATGGTTTTATTTTTGTTTTACCTATCATTTAAAATAACATTTTGAAAACAATGACAGAGTAAATCTTTTTTACTTTGTCATGTAAAACAATTAAAACACCTAATACTTAAATGTATAGATCATTAAATCATTTTATTTCATGGAAAATAGTCAATTTAACATGTCAAAACTTAATTTCTAAACATTAGCTTAGTGTTGCTAACCTTACCATCAATTGATAACTCAACCGTTTGGTTGAGCATGTTTTAGAAAATTTATTCTGAATTGAATACAGTTATTTTCTGGTATCAAATGACATAATAACGTTCTGCAAATACTATGGCATGATTTTACAGTGGAAAAATGTACTTACCTTCACAATTTTTTGCCAAAACAGTCCATGTGTCCAGAGTGATTTTTTTGTTTCTGATTTCCTGGTGGGAGCACTGCAGATGAGGCCTGCAATTTCCTGACACAGTGCCATCTAGTGGATTTTTTTAGTACAACATAACTCAACCAAGTGGTAGAGATGGCTCAATAAGGTTAAGTTAAGTTAAATAATCCTGTCCATTAAATATGGTGTCTCAAAATATGCTATACCAAATGGTTGAGCAGGCAGTTAATTATCATGCAGACGTTCCACCATGTGACAAAAGCTTCAGATTTAAGCAGGAGTTTGTCAGAAAGCCTCTGTTGTTTCATCTGTATATAAATAAAGGTTGATCTGACTAATTTACATATTATTGCCTTTCATCAGTTACATTAATGTTTAAAGAAAATACATTTGTAATTTTTTTTAATCTAAAAAAAACGTATTTAGTTACTAACTGTGTTTGCGGAATTATTTGTCACTTATCTTCCTCGGGTTTTTTTTTTTGCACAAAATATAATGTACAACAATTATAACAATCTCTACAAAGAATCAGTTTTACCAACATGAGATAGTACCAGAACAGGCTGAATTCCAACATATAGAAGAAGGATAATGAACAGGAAGTACTAACAACAACATATAAATAAACAAAATAAAAACAAACCCCAAACAGAACAAATAAGCAAACAAATGAACAAAAAGACTGATAATTAATTAAATCTTCCTCGGGTTTCATCGTGTCAAGTTAAATGTGTTACTTCCTGCCAGTAGTTTCAAAATAAAACTGGCAGACCGGGCCGGTGGTCGCCTTGGGCGCCCTCTGCTGGAGGGAAGCTGTCAGTCATCCTTCGTGACGTTGCTCTCTTCCTTCAGGTTAAAATAATAAATAATATAAATGACAGCTGAGACACGTGAGATTTAAAATATGTATTTTTAAATTATTGATTTTCTAAAAGGATATTAAATAGAAATGAATGGTGAAACTGATTTATTATTACCCTCTGGCGGGCCGAATTAAAAGCTAACGTTTATGTTTTATTAGCTAAATAAAACAGGTGAAATGTTTTACAAAAATCCGTGTTTGTTCAGCCAAAATGTATTTGTTTAACTAAAACAAATATAATTTTATTTATCAGTCTGCTTTTCCCGGTTGAGCCTCAAATTACCAAAACGTATTAAAATTACTTTACCAATAATTGAAAAACCTTTAGGATGGGAGTGTTTAAAGATGAAACCATTTCCATCTAGTTTGCGCAGCCCACATTAACGACACAGGACTCCGAATATGAACATTCGTGTGGGGATCAGGGGTTTTCTGCCCTCTTGTGGCGAGAAAGGAGAACTGCAGCATTGATGTCAAGTTGGCCAAGACATGTAGAAGGTTCGCTTCCTGTTGGTGCCTTCCAAATAAAACAGATTTGACGCGAGAGTTGAGACATTTTGTTGACTTTAACGTTGTTTATTTCACTTAGTAAGCGGTAAAATATGCACACATTAAATAAATTACGATGACTAGCCTTCACCAACCTAGAAAACCGTCGTACCAGACTCATAGGAAGGTTGACAAGGATTACACAGGTTAGTTTGTAATGTTTAATAATTTTATAAATGCTTGTTGCCTGGTTTTATATCCACTCAGACCACAGTAAAAATACCAGAGAAACTACCGGCATGGTCCATCAAACTTGCAGAAAAAAATCTTTTCTTGTTTCCAAAAAGCCTTCAGTATTTTATAAAACTGAAATTAAAAGTTTATAAAAGTGTCAAATGTTTGTACTTATTAGATCTACAGAAAGTTGAGTTAACACGATTTCTTTTTCTCCACAGCTGAAGGACGAAGAGGAGTACTACCAAAAAACGTCCGCTAGATGGCGCCAATCCGCTGGATATTAAAGGTGAGCAGTAACGATTCCGTACATTTTTACATAAACATGAGTGACTAATTTATTTACTTTCCTTCTGACATAAAACGTTGTTTCTCTGACTGAAGTAAAGAATCTTTTATTGTCATTTTTACAGCTGGGTTAACTTTAGTTGTGGGTTTGTTTAGCTCTACCTGTGTAAATGGTACAGTCTAAGGGAGCCCACCTGGGTCATTAGGATAATTACTTGAACCTGTGCAGGAAGGAGGAAAAGCAGGTTGGTGTAGCTTTGTGCTTTTCATATTCGTATTTGTTATTTTAACTTTATTTGTGTCGAATGAACATTTAAATTAGGATCTTTCTCATTTTTGAACATAGTTTGTTGGTTTAGATGTAAAACTGAACACTTGATTCACTCCTGCTAATTCTCCACCACTTTAGTCGAGTTGCTACCCTCCATGATCACAGTTAGACCAAAAACAGGAAAAATAAATGATTTGAAGTTACACTAGATATACAGAACAGCAAACATGTCTATTCCTAACATCTGTGAGTTGATTTGAGCAATGATGATAAAATATAGATAGATAGATAGATAGATAGATAGATAGATAGATAGATAGATAGATCATCTTTATTGACAGACTCTTAGGTCCAGATAAAATGTATATAAAACAACAGATCAATGAAACAAAATAGATAAAATAGAAATAAAAAGATAACAGCATAAAACTGAATAAAAATCTAAATGTAATTTAAAAACTTTACTATAAACTGTTCCACACAAGGTTAACCACACAAACACTTCAACCAGTATTTCCTTATACTGGACAAATAGAGACAACTGCTCACAGTAGGATCAGTGAATGCTAAAATTATACTGTTGGCAGAGCTATCCAGTCGGCCTGTAAAAGTGAATATGAGTTTTCTTAAAAGTGCTTTAAAAGTACAAACGCCTGCTGTTACAAACATCTGACTGGCACTGCCCCCTCTGGGTATTTTAAGTATGATTCTTAAGGCATCGTTGTGTGCAACTTGCAGCTTATTCATGCTGCTTTGATTGTAGGATGACCACAGTTGGGCTGTGTAGAGCGGAGTACAATATGCTTTAAATAAAGCCACCTTAACTGGAGGTGAACAAAAACCAAACTTACGAGCTATAGTGTTAGCTTGTGCATACAGCTTACAGCACTGTCTGTGGATGTCAGCATCATCACGCATTTGATCAGTTATAAAGTGGCCAAGGTATTTCACATTCTCACACACATTAAGATCACTATTAGACAGTCTGAACACAGGAAAGTTTAACTTTTTATCTGCTTAGTTCTACATATCAAGATAGCACTTTTAACAGCATTATACTGAATATCGTACTGCACACCATATTCAGAGCAGATATTTAGGAGCTGCTGTAAACCAGTATATATATATACTGTATATATATAATAATAATAATAATAATGATAATAATAATAATGATAATGATAATATTGCACATATTCAGTAACTGAATGCAGAACATAAACAAACCCAGAGGAGTTCATGTTGTCTGCAGACCACAGAATAAAAGTAACCTGGTTAAACAGGAACTAGTTAGTTAAATGAGATTAAACTGGTGACTGTTCTCACCCACTTTATGACATGGTCTGACCCCAGTCAGAAGTCTGAAACACATCAGATGTTTAACAGGAAAAGTGGAAGTTTGGGGTTTACAATAAAATATGTGTGTTTAAATATATTCTGGATTATTCATTTCCAGTATGTAGATGTAAAAAACTGTCTTGGGGCAGCAGCAGCTCAGCAGGTAGAGCGGCTTGTTCAGTAATCGGAAGGTTGCAGGTTTGATCCTGACTCTGGACAGAGATTTCTGCTTTTGTGTCCTTGGGCAAGACACTTAACCCGCCTTACCTGCTGGTGGTGGTCTGAGGGACTGGTGGCGCCTCTGTCAATGCGCCCCAGGGCAGCCGCGCTACAACGTAGCTCATCACCACCGGGGTGTGAATGGATGAATGATACTCTGTGTAAAGCGCTTTGGTGTCCTCATTCTAGAGATTGTGCGTGTGTGTGTGTGTGACTTCCTGCTCAACACGACAAGGAGCAAAGGGTCAACCTGAAGATAGGAGAGCTTTGAGACGCTCCACTGAGTGTCTAAAAAAACAGACTCAGAATTCAGGATAAAAGAAATTTAACATCAAAACACAGATTTAGATTTAACATCAAATCTAAAAGTAAAACCAGTGATTAGAAACAACACATTCATTTCCTCATCTTTCCTTTCAGGGTTCATTCTTGGTGGCTCCGGCTCTGGTGGCCCGTGGAGCTCCTAAAGGATCCATCATTACTTTGGGCAGCGTCGTTGCACAGGCGAGGAACCAGCAGGTGTGACGAGTCTCGTGTCTTTACTCCACATTCAGTCATAATTAGATGTGTTCCTGGTTATGGTTCAGAGGAAAAACAAAAGGAGTTCTGATCCGTAGTAGTGCTGGAGCTCAGTAGGGCAATAAAAATGTCATCATGAAGTTTATAATAAAAACTCAAATAAGTTATTTCTTTATTTGTCCAGATTTAGGATTTGTTCTAACTGAGCTGTGTGAAGTTTCAGCATGGTCCAACAGATGTAGATAAATAACTGTTTATAATAATAATATTAATAAAAATAAAACAATACTATTATTATTATTGTTATTATTATTATTTAGTTATTTTTCTACATATGTTTGTTGGACCATGCTAACGACTTTACAATAATTGTATTTTTTTATTATTATTATTATTATTACTGATTAAAACTGTAAAATGGTTTAATCGGTTCACAGGACATTGTTTTGATAGATTTTTAATCAATCAAATCTAAAAATGTGGTACAAATATTGTACTTTAGGTCTGGTTTCACTAAACTTGTCATAAAACCAGACAAGAGGAGAAAGATCAGTTTAGCAAGCTTCGGTGCAAACAGAAAACAAGTGTTACTCTGCCCCCTTGTGGCCACGATGGAAATATCAAGTTACCAAGAAAAGTAAAGGGCTCATTTCCTGTTAGTAACTTAAGCATGTTTGGTTGGAGTTGAGACCTTTTGTTGATTTAAGACTTGTTTGGATCTCTTTATGACTAGCAAACTATAAACATATTAAAGTAAAAAATAAACAATAAAAAATGGTCGTAAAGGTAACAGACGCCCTCTAGCGGACAACTGAATATTACATAAACCACAAAAAACTGTCATGGCGGCTACCGCCAGGCTGACTGGTCGCCGGTTAGTTTAAATTTAACAGAGGTGCGTTTATTAGATCAAGAGCGAAATGGCTTGAGGAAGGTGAACGCAATACCGCATACTTTTGTGGACTTGAAAAAAGACGACAGGAGAGGAATTTAATTAATTCACTTATCATCAACAATGTAGAATGCACGGATACCAAAATTATTGCTGAAGAAGTTTATACATTTTATAAAGACCTCTATTCATCATCTAGTGGCAATGAATCAAACCTATTGGATAATATTACACATCTCATCCCAAAAATCAGTCAGGAATTTAAAATGATATGTGATGCAGAGATTGAGATTTTTGAAGTAGAGGCAGCAGTCAAACAACTTTCCGTTGGGAAATCCCCTGGTCAAGATGGTCTGACATCTGACTTTTATAAACATTTTTGGAATAATATTAAAGATCAAACAAGGACTCATCTCTTTGATTCTGAAGAATGGCAAAGATAAAAAAAATTCTAAGCAATCTAAGACCAATTACGCTCCTTAATGTGGACTACAAAATACTCGCTCATGTTGTGGCTAATAGGCTCAAAGAAGGTATTTTACAAATCATCAGCGATTCCCAATCTGGGTTTATCAGGGGTCGCTCCATACATAACAACATTAGGTTGGTCCTAGATTTGTTAGATTACAGGGACACAATTGAGAATGATGGCTTTGTTCTTTTTTTGGATTTCTGCAAAGCCTTTGACCGAGTCAACCATTCCTTCATGTTAGACACGTTACACCATTTTGGCTTTGGAACAAAGTTGTGTGAAATTGTTCAAACCTTATACAGGGATATTAATAGTACTGTACTGTTGCCATCTGGAACCTGCAAACGTTTTAACATTGAAAGAGGCATCCGACGGGTGTCCAGCCTCCCCTCTTCTTTTTATCATGGTCGTGGAAATTCTCAGCATCATGATTAAGAATAGTCAGATAGAGAAATTAGATGTTTTTGGTAATTCGTTAGCTATAATTCAACTGGCAGACGATACTACGCTCTTCCTTAAAAATAAGGAACAGATCCCAATTGCTTTACAAGTAGTTAGTTGTTTTTCAGAAGCCTCAGACCTTTATTTAAACATAGATAAATGTGAATTAATGGCCATTCATGATCATCCTCAAACAACTCTGCATGGCATACCTGTTAAAGATCAAGTCAAGTATTTGGGCATTACAATCTCAAAAAACTTAGAAACGAGAGAAAAATGTAATTTTGAGAGCTTAATTAAAAAGAGTAAAAGTATTTTAAACATATGGCTACAAAGAGATCTCTCAATTTTTGGTAGATTACTTCTATCCAAGATGGAAGGATTGTCAAGAATTATCTATCCGGCTTATTCTCTAAGAATTCCTCAAAATATTATTAAAGAAATTAACCAAAACAATTTTAACTTTATATGGAAAAACAGACATCATTATATAAGAAGGAATGACATCATCAAATCAATAGAGGAAGGGGGTCTCAATGCAATCGATTTTGATATAATGAATGGTGCACTTAAGTTAAAATGGCTACAAAATTTTATAAAGAATATAAATATGTTGTGGTTTAATCTTCCTGCTAAAATTTTCTCCAGTGTAGGCGGAATCCTATTGCTTCTTCAATGTGACTTTGAATTATCCAAACTCCCTATTAAGTTATCCAAATTTCACGAGCAAGTTCTACAATATTGGAAATTAATGTATACACATAACTTCACACCGCACAACACGCCAATATGGAACAACCGTTATATCCTGATTAAAAGGAAATCTTTTTTTTTTAATGATTGACATCTCCATGGAGTATGGTCCATTTTGCATTTGATGGACCAGAATGGAGAATTTCTTAATTTTACGGCTTTCAATCGCAAATTTAACCTAACTTGTTCTTCTAAGCAATATGCCGAGGTAATCAAGGCAATCCCACCAGCTATATATGCTAATTTGAAAGGCACTTTGTTGTACTCTCGCCTTATTCCAATAATGCCTCCTTTAACAATTAAGAACTGTTCTTTTGTGGACAGGAACTGCAATAATAAAATCCTTAGATGTTGGCTCACTGACGTCCTCTTTCCCTTACCTCTTAGAAGACAGGAATTAGTACGTCAATTTAGTAATTCTGATGTTAAAAACATTAGATGCAACTATCTCAAATTCTCAATCCCTCCTAAAGCCAAGGAAGTTCATTTTAAAACTATAAACAGTATTTATCCTTGCAAAGATTTCTTGCAGTCTAAATTTAATATTGGAGAGAACGACTGTGCCTTTTGCACTTCTAATATAGAAACTGAGATACATTTATTCTTCACATGCATCTTTACCAAATGTTTCTGGGATAGTTTTCACTCGTGGTTAACGCATAACAATTTCATTATACGCTCCTTATCTTTTTCTGACATCAAGTATGGTATTATTTTGGAAAATAAAATGCAGCAATTCACTGTCAATGATTTGATTATTTTCGCTAAATTCTTAATACACAAATGTAAATTTGGCAATATCAAACCGATCTTTATTGTTTTTTTGAAAGAACTTGCATACTTTATGGATTCTCTTAAATTATGTAGTTCCAAGAAAGCCATTTGGCTCTATAACAATTTGGTGAATGTTTCCTTTACCCCTAATGTTGTTTGATGTAATATATAATTTTTTTTTTGGTTATGATTTCTGCAGGTTGATATTGAGCTAGGTTAATATTATTGTTTCTGTTTGTACACCTGCTTTTTTTTTGTTTTGTCATGCTCAGAATTCAACTGTAAATACTGATTCTTATGTAAGCCTGTAAGCTTCATTGGTTAAATAAAACTTGATTAAAAAAAAGTTTATATTTAACTATATTTAAACAGCTTGTTTCCTGGTTTAATATCGAGTCCAATTACGGAAAGAACAGCGAAAGTAATCAGCAAGGTCTAAAAAAACAAGTAGAAAAATATTTATTTGTTGTGTTCAAAAAGCTTTTGGTTTTTATTAAGTTTTGAAATCGCTAATTGTAAAATATGTAAACTACCATATGTATTTACATCTTAAAGATTAACAGAAATATATTTGATCGTTTTCCACTGTTTTTACAATTTTTTTTATCAGCTCCAACAAATTGAAACAAGGAGCTGTGCCGCTGAATGTCCACCAGATGGCGCCGTTTCACCGTCTAGTAAAGAAAAGCAGACCCTTTCAGCCAGTGGAGACAAAAAATCCCTTCAGGACAATGAAGAGCAGTAGAAAGTAATGTCGAGGAAAAAGCTAAAGCTAGCTTCTGTGTGACGAAGATGAGTCTAACACTCTAGGCTCGTGATTTAAGACTTGTTTGGGTAACTTAAAACTAGTAAACTATAAAAATTAAAGTGAAATATAAACAATAAAAAATGGTCGTAAAGGTAACAGACGCCCTCTAGCGGACAACTGAATATTACATAAACAACAAAAAAACTGTCATGGCGGCTACCTCCAGGCTGACTGGTCACCGGTTAGTTTATATTTAACTACTTTATTTAAACAGCTTGTTTCATGGTTTAATATCGAGTCAAATTACGGAAAAAACAGCGAAAGTAATCAACAAGGTCTAAAAAGAACAAGTAGAAAAATATTAGTTTATTTGTTGTGTTCAAAAAGCTTTTGGTTTTTATTACGTTTTGAAATCGCTAATTGTAAAATATGTAAACTACCATATGTATTTACATCTTAAAGATTAACAGAAATATATTTGATCGTTTTCCACTGTTTTTACAATTTATTTATTTATTTATCAGCTCCAACAAATTGAAACGAGGAGGAGCAGTGCCGCTGGATGTCCACCAGATGGCGCCTTTTCACCGTCTAGTAAAGGTAAGCAGACCCTTTCAGCCAGTGGAGACATAAAAATCCCTTCAGGACAATGAAGAGCAGTAGAAACTAATGTCGAGGAAAAAGCTAAAGCTAGCTTCTGTGTGATGAAGGTGAGTTTAACACTCTAGGCTCGTGATTTAAGACTTGTTTGGGTAACTTAAAACTAGTAAACTATAAACATTAAAGTAAAAAATAAACAATAAAAAATTGTCGTAAAGGTAACAGACGCCCTCTAGCGGACAACTGAATATTACATAAACAACAAAAAACTGTCATGGCGGCTACCGCCAGGCTGACTCTGGTCACCGGTTAGTTTATATTTAACTACTTTATTTAAACAGCTTGTTTCATTGTTTAATATCGAGTCCAATTACGGAAAAAACAGCGAAAGTAATCAACAAGGTCTAAAAAAACCAAGTAGAAAAATATTAGTTTTTTTTGTTGTGTTCAAAAAACTTTTGGTTTTTATTAAGTTTTGAAATCGCTAATTGTAAAATATGTAAACTACCATATGTATTTACATCTTAAAGATTAACAGAAATATATTTGATCGTTTTCCACTGTTTTTATAATTTTTTTTATTTATCAGCTCCGACAAATTGAAACGAGGAGCAGTGCCGCGGATGTCCACCAGATGGCGCCGGGTAGAAACTAATGTCGAGGAAAAAGCTAAAGCTAGCTTCTGTGTGATGGTGAGTCTTAACACTCTAGGCTCATGGAAATTACACATTACAAATTCTTTAAAGTACATTTTCTTAAATTGACCCAAATTTAGTCAGAAGTTTTGATAAACTCAAAATAGCAACACTTAAAATTTTATCACTTCCACATTAAGTGTTAATAAAAACAAGAGTCAAGCAGCTCTTTTTAAAAAGATGATATATTACAGAAACACGATTTTAAAATTACTTACAGACGTAAAATACTTTTTTCTTCAGCACCATGTTTGTGTTGAAATGTCTTCAACACAATGAAAACAAATAGTTGAGGTCATTTTCTTTAAGGGACAGATTCTTTATGTTCTGACTGTCCCACCAGTTAATTATATAAAAAATTAAAACAAATAAAACTAAAACGGCCCCGTAGAACCAGAAATCACTTTTCACTCAGTCCCTGCTGACGGATGTTCATCTCCACCGTGTCACTGCCCTTCTCTCACCCTCACTCCTCTCTAAATATTAAAATAATTAAGATTTTATTTAATAAATGTAGTTCGGTTTCACTAAACACAGGAACAAACCTGTTGAGTCAAACTGCAGCAAGAAAACAGGAATGTGAGAAGTGGAGTCACCGTTTAATCATGGCAGTGGAAACAGCACAGTACAGATGAAACTAGATAAGGGAGGGATTACAGTTTTAGTCACGGCCAGATTCTTTGGTTGGTGGAGGTGTGAACAGAAGCATCACAGCTGTGCAGTCGAGCTGCATCAAATAAATACAACTGAAAGTCACGTCTGCTAGAAATAATCCTCGGTTCTTATTTTAATCTCAAAGCACCCAGTTGGTTTTAAATAAATACAATAGAATATCACTATTTCTGTACAAATGTAATGCACATTTCCCTAGAAGAGACTAAAATGGAGGACTTTATTTTATAGAATTAGCACCTTTCCACAGTTTCACTCAGTAACGTGTGCATTTTTATTCTCTGCTGCAGGAACAGAAAACACCGGGTCTGGATCAGCACCGGAATACTGAAGTGGTGTCTGGAGGCCACTCAGGTACGTGATGGCTTTAGTCTCGCTTCACCGTCTCTCTGGTCTCACTAACCTTTAAAAAGCACCACATATATATATTCTAATGATCCGTTTGAGCTCTGAGGCACACTGTTAGATAATAAAGCTTTTAGAGCAGAAAGACGACTCCGATCAGAGCCTGCTGGTGGCATGTGGTCCGTTCCTTGCTTGCTTTATTAGAAGTGACAGGATGTGACGTAACCGATGCTTAGATTAGGACAAATCTGGCTTTAGAAGAATAGATTCGGGTGTGAAACTGTTGGTCCTGTTGCTGCATGTGGGAATTACAGAAGTAGGATAACGTCTGATCGTGGACCTTTTCTTAAAGAGGAGGGGAGGTGGAGCAGGAAGTGGATGAAGGTGTCAGCAGGGAGGAGTAAGCCTGGGTCCAGGCCCGTTGAAGAACACTTTGATTCCCAGGAACATCGTTCTTCCTGTTTATTTTCCTCCCAGTCGATGTTTCTTCTGTTTGGTCCATGTTTTGCTGGGAGGGCTCCAGAGGCACGTAGGCGAGTGTGTGTGTGTGTTTATATCATTTACAAGTTAATTTACAAATTACTGGGCCTGTATGTTTATCGTGTGTGTGTGTGTGTGTGTGTGTGAGTGAGTGTTCAGCCTTGGAAACAGACAGGTCCAACTTCAAACCCAAACTGCTGGTTGCTCTCCCCAAAGTCTGACACCTTGATGTCCAGCAGAGGGAGGTGCTCCACCTGAGGCGTGTTGATCTCCAGGACCGTCCTGTCGAAGCCTTTCCGGTACTGTGGAGAGAGACGGGGACACGCGTCAGATTTCCAGGTGAACCCACCCAGAACACACACTCAGAATCAGCTGTGAACTCACGGAGCAGCCGTCCACCAAGGCTTTGATGTAAGGGCTGGTCTCGTAGCTTAGCTCTTCCTCGTTGGCGCCTCTGAAGTGCAGCGCCCTCTTGTGGTTGTTCTTGGCGCTTCGGTCGGCCCAGGCCACAGAGCGGTGGCAGTGGTAGGTGAGGTTCTGACGGGCCTGGACGCTCAGGAGGCGCAGGAAGCCCAGCTGGACCACGCCCACGGGCTCGCCGTTCAAATCCACGTAGGAGAACTGAGATCAGGAAGTAAACGTGTGAAGGTCATGGCGGCGGCCATTTTTAACCTCTCCGAGTGTTACTGACCTTGCTACCAGTGGTGAACTGACTGTACCACGACCCTGGAGTCTCTTTGTCCCAGGAGCTCATCTTCACCTGCAGTCAGAAAGGTTCCTGTGGCATCAGTTAAACCAGTTTAGTTTGATGTTTCTATGATGATTTAGGTCTGACTGACCGTGTCGACGTCTCTGGGGTACAGGCACGTCTCTCCTTTAGTGAAATTACAGAAGACCTTGAAGGAGTCTCTGGAGCAGCCTTGGTTTGGGTCAATCCAGTACTCTCCTGCAGAAAGGTGAGAAGTTACAGAAGCTCTGGTGGTGTTTGTGTTGGTGGCTTTTACTCTAAAGGAAACCGAAAACAACCCGGATAAGCAGCATGTGATCCTCTCACCATCCTGGAGGTCCGGCTGGCTGAGCTGCAGGTCCTGGCAGGTGCGAGCCGGACTGTCCCGAGTCCCCAGAGGGAAACGCATCGTCTCGATCTCCTGCCTTAGCGGGTTCAGGGATCCGAAGATCTCCTCCATGCCTTCACTGCCCATCAGGAACTCCGTACCAGCGGTGTCGGAGGCTGGCGCGTCGGGGTTGAACTCAGACAGCAGCTGGCTGGCATCGATGGAGCGTTTAGTCTTGGGACTCCTCAGAATGGGCAGAGGCTGAATGGCCTCGCCTGGGGGACCCTGGCACAGAAGAATCTAACTTAACTCCGATTTTTATGAAGTATTTAAACAAGTATTAAACTTACAGGAGGCCCAGGAGGTCCTTGCACACCCTTCTCTCCCTTTGGACCTGCTCCTCCCTAAAGCAGAAAGATTTTAGAATCAGCCATTTAAACAGTTTGTTAACACGCCTCAACTAAAGCCGTGCAAACACCAACTCACACTGGAGCCCTTTGCTCCTTTGACACCTTGCGGACCCTGAAAAACAGAGCAGACGTCAGTTTTCCAACAATGACAAGAAGATCTGAATAAGATGGTAAAAAACTCACAGGAAGCCCAGGAGGACCAGCAGGACCCAGAGGTCCAGTACCTCCAGCCATCCCCTGTAGGGAGACACGTTTTATAATAAATGATAACCGGCGTGGAGCTGCTGCTCATGACTTTAACTCACAGGTTCTCCTTTAGGTCCGGTGGATCCATGAGGCCCAGGCATGCCCCGGTCTCCTTTCTCTCCCTGCTCTCCTGAAGGTCCGATCAGACCGATGAGACCCTGGTGACCCTTCTCACCCTTTGCACCAGGATCTCCACGCAGGCCAGGTAGACCGGGAGGTCCCTGCAGCACATCAGAGGAGGAGGTGAGGAAAAGGTAAACTCACATTTAACCAACCAGCTTTAGTGAATAGTGATGATGTCATTGACTTACGATAGGTCCAGGTGGGCCCGTCTGTCCAGCAGATCCTGGAGATCCTTGCTCTCCCTGAAACATCAAACAGGATCAGCTGCTGGATTCTAACTAAATGCAAACGCTGCTGATTCTGATTCCCAGGAAAACCCACCACTGATCCTGGAAGTCCTCTGAGACCTTCTGTTCCCGGTTTTCCCGGCTGACCCTGAGGACCAACGGGGCCGGTCTTCCCTGGGGGCCCGACGGCACCTGGATCCCCCTAAAGGTGACGAGAACCATCAGCGTGTTAATTTTCCACTTCTGCATGAGAAACTCTGTAGGCTTAAAGTGTGTTTTATGTTGTAATCCAGGTCCTCCGCTACCCAGCATGTTTTAGTTGTTTCTCTGCTCCAACATCTGATTTTAGTCAGCAGGGAAACACCTGAAACACGCTGGTTAGCAGACCTCCAGGAGCAGGAATAGCCATCACTGCTTTGGAGGCTGATCTGAATCTAAATGTGCTGAAATGTATAATTTTATTTTGACGTTAGAGTTTGAGTAATAAAATCACAAAATTAATGTAATTTATTAATTTGACTGAAGCTTAGAACAATGAAGCTGTTTAAACAAAGCTCATAATTCCCAGCTTTACTTTTGTAAATGTAAAATTACTATTTTTATGGATGGAAATGATTTACTTAACGGGATCAGGAGACGTCCTCTTTAACTCATTCACTGCATGTTTTTACTGTGTGGGCGTCGGACGAGCCCCCGCTCCGTGAGAACAAACATCTCGGCTCTAAAGCCGATCTTCATCCACGTACGTCACACGTCACGTGATCAGGAAGCAGAACATCCATGTGTTAGATCGTTTTGGGCCGCTGCTGTAAAAAAAGTGAGGCACGAACCGGAAAAGCGTCTGCCGATCACAATTCAACAACGGATCATGAAAGAACGGATAACGCGCAGATTCTTCCTGATGTAAGAGGCGGGTCTCCGCTTTGTTTTGGTAGCTTTGGCATCGACATCATCCTAGCGCGCAACGTCCTGTGACTCTTAAAAAACGGTGAGAAACGCCGGCAGCGAATGAGTTAAGGGTTTTCTAGTGTTTAAATCTGCATGTTGATCATCTGTAAAAACGACTCACTTTGGTTCCCTTCTCTCCTTGTCGGCCCTCCGGTCCTCTGGTCCCAGCAGGTCCCTGATGAATAAAATAGTTTAGGAATAATTTATCTATCGGATGCTTATTTAAAAGCGATAGGCGGATACATCCATCCATCTGGGCTATCAAACTTTACCCTTTTTCCTGGAGGACCAGGTGGTCCGTTCTCACCGGGAGGTCCTGGAGAACCCTGTAACAGGAAATGGATCCATGAGATTTAGGGGACAAACCGTGTTTGATGTTCCTGTTGCATCGTTTTACTCACCGACTCTCCTGCTTCACCGTCCTCTCCTCTCTCTCCTTTGGCGCCATCTTGACCCTGAAGTCAAAGCCGATCAGGATTAGATGAGATGTTCGGTGGTGCAGAAGATGGTCTGTAAAACTAAAGACACTTACTCTGGGTCCAACCTCACCAGGAGCACCAGGATCTCCAGGGGAACCAACTGGGCCCTGAAATTACAGAACCAGTCACGATAAGTGACAGGTCTGGGTGTCTGGATGGTAGAAGAACTGCTTCACTGCGTCTTACTGGGTTTCCTTTGGGTCCATCATCTCCAGGTCGTCCTCGTCCTCCAGCAGGTCCAGCAGTTCCAGGTTGTCCAGCTTCTCCCTTCTCTCCGCGTTCTCCACGAAGACCCTGACAACGAGAACACGGCTGTTAGCTAACCGGTCAGCGGGGCATCAGAAGACTTTGGCTCACTCAGGTACTCACCTTCTTTCCTGGTTCTCCAACAACTCCAGGTGCTCCCGCCTCACCAGGCTCTCCCTGTGGAGCAAACACTGAATGTCTTATAGCAGCTATTTTATGAGAGACTATTAAAGTCATGCAGGAAAATCCTCCAATGCTGCACCTTCTCTCCAAGAGGTCCAGGATTACCCAAACCACCAGGAGGACCTTGAGGTCCCTGAAATGCAACCATGAAACAAATGTAATGAGAGACAAAGTTCCTACTAACAGACCTGACTTGGTAAAAACTACAGAAGCAACTAGAAGAGCTCCAAGCACTCACGTCGGCTCCGTTGGGTCCAGCAGGTCCGCGGGGTCCTGGAGGTCCAGGAGGACCCTGGAGACATAAAAAAGTTGTATTGCTGTAGAAGAAAGAAGCCACATCTCCAGTTGTTTTAAGCTCACCAATGGCCCAACGTCTCCGGTCTCTCCCTTCTCACCCGATGGTCCAGGCAGGCCCTGTAGACCAGAAGAAGTTTAACCAAAAACTGGTTAGCAGCTTAGCTCAGGAACCTAAACACGAGCGACTCCAACAGAAAACTGTTTATTGGTTTTTCTTCTTTCACCTGAAGTCCGATAGGTCCCGGAGCTCCCGGGAATCCTCGAGTTCCTTCGTCACCTTTAGCTCCAAAAGGTCCCTGCTGCCCCCTTGGTCCCAGCTCTCCATCTGCCCCCTGCCCCACAGAGGAGATAAGAAATGGTATGCAGCCCACATCCAAGCACCAAATCAGCATTTTGATCTGTTTCTACTCACAGCAGGACCGGGTTGGCCAACTGGACCGTTTGGGCCAGGTGGACCAGGAGGACCCTAACATGAAAACACGCATTTTAGCTTTAAAACATGAATATTATTAATAATAATAATACGACACACGAGGGCTTCACTAAGTCACTCACATGCTCTCCTTTCCCCCCCTTGGCTCCCTTCTGACCGTGTTCTCCAACTTCACCCTGAAGACACGTTTTATCAGTTTGAGCACATACGACTATTATTGGTCAGGATAATAGATGCACGTGCATTTAGAATATTTAATAAGGAATATTAGAGGAGGTTCTTTTTGCTTCGGACATGAAGGTGTTTCTAGTTACCTTTACATGTTTCGACCGTCGTCTGCGGTCTTCTTCAGAAGTCTCACAGATGTTTGTGTGACGTGTCTTTATCAGCTGTTCTTCCGGTGGGCGTGGCCAACCCGGAGCTGGCTGGTCTTTGGAGAAGGGAATCCCAGGTGCGAGACAGCTGATAGGCTCCCTCGTCTCTGTTCATGCTCCCGTTTCCTCATTTCTATTGCCTCCCTGACCCAACGTTTGAACCGGTTGTTCTCGGTGTTGATAATTTTCCCTTGATCCCAGTCCATGATGTGATTATTTCGTTTGCAATGATCTGACATGGCTGACTTGAAGGTTTGCTCCTCTGCTTTTTTTTGTTGTTGTCCTTGTGAGGCGACAGAAATAAGGAAACGGGAACATGAACAGAGACGAGGGGGCCTATCAGCTGTCTCGCACCTGGGATTCCCTTCTCCAAAGACCAGCCAGCGGAGGTGGGCGTGACCGACCCGGCGGATCTGACAGATCCGGCTTGGCCACGCCCACCGGAAGAACAGCTGATAGACGAGTCACACAAACACCTGTGACACTTCTGAAGAAGACCGCAGACGACGGTCGAAACATGTAAAGGTAACTAGAAACACCTTCATGTCCGAAGCAAAAGGAACCTCGTTTAATATTTAAAAAGAGGACATAATGAACATTGTAAAGGATTTAATAAGGAATATCTATAATTAGGATCTAAAATGTCCCATAACTAAAATAATGTAGAAGTCGGTTTTGTGTCGACTGTGACTAAAGTCTTGGGACGGTCATGTGGAGTTACTCACCTTATCTCCATCCTCTCCAGGTACTCCAGGTGATCCAGCAGGGCCGGGCAGACCCACTGGACCCTGGACTCCATCCCGCCCTGCTGGGCCAATGGGGCCTTTCTCGCCCTGTAAAGGAGAACGTCTGAAGTTATTCCGTCTTTAGCTCGCCACGCCGAGTTAAAGGATATATTTTAGGTTTGCGTTACTGATTAAAAACGTCCTGATAACTCACTGGAACGCCCTTCTCTCCAGCTTGTCCTGGTGTTCCTTGAGGACCTGGTCTGCCAGGAGGTCCCACAGGTCCAGCGGTTCCAGCAGAACCTCTCTCACCAGGAGAACCCTAGAAAGTACACATGTTGGTACACTTAACAGTGAGCGAGTACTTCTACCTTTGATTGGGTCTTCTGACATCAACATCAGCCTGACTCTGACAGAAACGACCTTAACCCTCAGGCTTCACTTTAACTTTCATACAAAAGAGTCATTAGAGGGCAAAAACGTCCGCTTGTAAGGTTTTTTTTTAGCTTTCTCGCCTGGGCAACATATGGAGAAATGACAGAATTTGGTGGTGAACAGTAAAAATCATAAATTTGACTACTTTGTCCAAAATGAAACCATAACATCACAGAAAGCATGATTACTTGCTGCAGATGATGCAGGATCAAAAACTGTGGTTTGCATTGAAGTCAATGGGACGTTTTTGCCTCTAATGGCTCGAGTGTATAGTGAATTTTAAATCTGTTGCTATGTAAAAACTATAAATGCAAAAAATTCAAAATTTTAGATATTTCATAACATAATCAAGACTGATTGGAACTAAACACCCCAGGCATTAAAAAATGTCTTTTTTAGAAAATAACTCAGTTTTAGTTTTTTTTCTTCATAAATTACATCAATGACTGAGTATTCAAACTGGCATTTCAAGGGTTAAAAGCCTCAAAATGACTGATTTTTTTTATGTTTGAGCAGGGCTGAAGTTGTTCAACAGATGTGTGAAAAAAAAACATTAAAAAAAATTTTATAGCCACTTTTACAAGCGGATGTTTTTGTCCTCTAAAGTCTCAAGTGTTTCTTTCATAGTGTTCCCTTGGTCTATTTTAAAAATTCCAAATTTGTCCAGAGAGCGGTTTTGCGACCACATTTTTTTACCGTATGCACAAACGGTGGTGAAATGGTGTCAAAACGAAAAACAAAAAACTGCCCAAATGGACAAAAAAGTCCCTAACGAAGCCTGAGGGATAAGTTTCATAAGATTGTTCAAAACATACAGCAGGTCCAGGAGGTCCAGCAGGTCCTTCGCTTCCCTTCAGTCCTCCACCACCCTGGAAGGAAACATCAAAAGATCTCATCAGTTTCACCTGAGCTCCACTAAACCCTCTAGAGAAACATAAAGCATCAAACTCTGATGGTCTGAACTCGTTTCACTCACAGGGGTTCCAGGAAGTCCTCTCTCTCCAGGGAATCCTCTCAGACCAGGAGGCCCATCTTTACCAGGGCCTCCTGGAGGTCCGGGGTCTCCCTTGGTGCCCTCTTTTCCTGACGGACCAGAAAGTCCCTGCTCTCCTGGAGGACCTGGAGGTCCAGGGTGCCCACGCTCACCCATGGGGCCCGTTTCACCGGATGGACCCTAGGAGGATGGAGGGAAAAAAAGACTATGACTGCGTTGTTGCAAAAGCTGTGAAATGATGGAACCGGATGGATTAACCCACCTGAGGTCCTACAACTCCCGGAGGCCCAGGTGGACCCACTTTACCTTGGAACCCCTGTAGAAGAAGACTTGGTGAACCTAAAGATGCAGCAGAACACCTTTAACTAAGTTTATCTACAAACTTACGACTTCTCCTCTCTGTCCAGGATGTCCAGGCAGTCCGTCCTTTCCTGGTGGTCCCTGTGAAGTATTAGTTTTCCTTAATTCCCCAAAAACTTCAGCTCCCATTTCAAAACAATAACCTAAAAGTGTTCAGCAGCAAAAAGCACTTACTGGAGGTCCCTTTGGTCCGGGGAAGCCGTTGGCTCCTTGAGGTCCGGGTAATCCCTGATCAGACCATGACATCGTATAAAATTAGAACATAAATTATAACCTAATTAAATCGTTTCATGATTTCCTGTAGCAGCAAATAAGAACTCACCCTCTCTCCAGGAGGACCAGGAGGGCCGTCACTTCCAGACGTTCCCTATGAGGAAATATAATATTTTAGGTCTGTTTGACACACAAAAATACTTTTAGATTATTGTATAAATAAGAAATTATTCATATGAAGATTTGATAAAAGGGAAAAGCGTACATTTGGAGAACGTTGCTAAGCCTGGGTGTTTCGATGTTTAGACAAACCTTTGCTCCTAGTTTTCCTGTTGATCCCCTCGGTCCTCTCTGCCCTCGAGGACCCTGGTGATCACAGACAAGAGTTAAAATAGATTTCCTGATCCAGAAAAAATTTTTATAAATGCAACCAAATTAACACATTAAACCATGATGTGCTACTACTAGTTTACCCGTTTAATTATAGATTCACTAGGAGAAATACAATAAAGTTTATCTCTCACCAAATAGAATATTTACTAAGAAATCACAATGTAACGTGTGTGTGTGTGTGTGTGTGTGTCTTCTCGATCCCCAGTGAGTCGTGGAGGATGGCTGCTTACACTGAGCCAGGATTCTCTGGAGGTTTCTTCCTGTTTAAAAGGAGTTTTCCTCTCCACTGTCGTTGCATGCTTGCTTAGTATGAGGATTGCTGTAAAGACTCTGACACTCGTCAGTGACTTGATGCAACCTGCTGGGTTCCTCATATAGGAAACTTTTTTCTGATTGGCTTAATGAACTGACCTGGATTGGAATGTTTACTGTGTGAAGGTCCTTGAGACGACTCTGGTCGTGATTTGGCGCTTTATAAATAAACTTGAATTGAATCATAAGCACAGTGCAACACCACCTAAACTGTTACTGACCAAAGGTAGTCTCTGCTGACCCCCAGTGGCTATAATTGTAACTGCACTGGTGCTAAATGATGTCGACACAAATCAGCTTCTGTTTAGTTCCTCTGGTCTGACTAGGAGCTCTGAGTAAATGAGAACTTTACCGTTGGTCCTCTTTGTCCTCTTGGTCCTTGTTTTCCAGAAACACCCTGATTTAAAAAAGAAAACAAGTTATAAACTAATAAAGCACGACTACGTCTGGGTAAAATCATCACTAGTTTTAATGTTTCAGGAAGGTAACTCCTGCTTTGATAACAAGTATAACAGCTCACCCGCGTTCCCTTCTCTCCATTAGAACCAGGAAATCCAGGGAATCCAAGAGATCCCTAAAAACAAAAATCTTTATATCAGTAATTATAGAAACATTAACTAACTTCTGATGTACAAGTGTTTATTTACCTTGGGTCCTTGTCTTCCAGGGTATCCAGGAAGTCCAGGTACACCAAGTTTACCCTGGAAAAATGTCAACGATGTCATAAAATGCACAAAAAGTTTATTAGCGGGTTTCAGGTAAATGTTTAGGTAGAAAAGGAGACAAGCAGCTAGTTTTATTCTCAGATGCTGTAGTTGAGTTATTGTGTCCTGCAGTAAATTTAGAGGAAACATGTTTAGTTTAATAAAGCTAAAATAAACATTTAGAACAGGGGTGGGCGACATATTCTTATCTTATTTTCCACATCTGTTGATACTGATATACATCACCATATAAAACTAATCAATATTTATCAACCTTTAATGTTCCTGTTTAACCTGTTAAACCCTAACACCCCCCAACTGGGGGCCTCTACAGTTTCATGTCCCAGACATCTACAACTGTCCACATTCTCCAAACAACTACAACCACAATCAAACAGCTCAGATGGGAAACAAGGCCATTTTAAATTGTAATAAATTAAGAAACAATGATGTTTGAACTTTATTTTAGAAGAGCATCTGGCCTTCTCTGGTCTCTGCTGGAGAAAAAAAACCTTGAACAAATGTAGCTGAGGATCCCTGGAATAAATAAAACAATTGACTAAATTTCCTAAATGGAATTTGAACTCACAACCTCCATCCTGTCAGCACTTTCACACAGGGCAGCTCTTCTAAAATAAAGTTCAAGTATTATTTTATCTTAATGTGTCAAAAACCAAAAAGAGCTTTGTTTACAATCTAAACTGTTTTGATTGTAGCTGTGCTCGGGTAATGCAAACAACCACTGACACTTGGGACATGAAACTCCAAAGGCCCCTGATTGGGAGGCGCCAGGGCCCAAAGAAAAAAGGCCTAGGGCCTAAAGTTATTTTTGATTTAAAGCTGCAGCGCGCACGTGTGGTCGTTAGAGGAACTGCAGTCAGCACAACGCACGCCCGTGACATTAAACCAGAAGTCCTGTATTATGTGACATCCTCTTTTAAAACTAATTAAAATGCCACAAAGTAAAAAATGTCACCCTTTTTTCCATTAACCACAAAAGGAAGTACAACCGTGAGCTCATCTTTATATTCTTCTCTGATTTAAACGGTCGTACCTTCTCTCCAGCAAGCCCAATTGGTCCGAGTTCTCCAGGAGGTCCAACACGACCCTTTGGTCCCTCTGGGCCATCTTCTCCTCTGGGCCCTGAAACTCCAATCTCACCCTACCAGTGAGGAACATCAGATAACAACAGTCACAATAAAGCAAACATGAAACAGGACTGAAACATCATCTAATCTTATCCACCACAAACTTATTAGCTATCATTTATTTTACCCTCTCTCCCTTGATGCCAAAATCTCCCTTAATTCCTGGGAAGCCATCTTCTCCCTACAAACAAAAACAGTTATCTGTCAATCGAGGATATTTAGGACATTTCACATGACTGATCTTAGGCGGTAACGCAGGAGTTACCTTCTCTCCTTTGTGACCCTTTAGACCGCGGATTCCTTGCACTCCCTGCAATCAAAACAAAATGTTTGGTGGTTTAATCTTTTTAAATATGACATGAAAAAACTTTAAAATATATCATTAACTCATTCGCTGCCAGCGTTTCTCGCCATTTTTTGAGTCACAGAACGTTGCGCGCTAGGATGATGTTGACGCCAAAACAAAGCGGAGACCCACCTCTTACATCAGGAAGAATCCGCGCGTTTCGAGCGTTATCCGTTCTCTCATAATCCGTTGTTGAATTGTGATCGGCAGAAGCTTTTCCAGTTCGCGCCTCACTTTTTTTTTACAGCAGCGGCCCAAAACAATCTCCTAACACCTGGATGTTCTGCTTCCTGATCACGTGACGTACGCGGATGAAGATCGGCTTCAGAGCCGAGATGTTTGTTCTCACGGTGCGGGGGCTCGTCCGACGCCCACACAGTAAAAACATGCAAATGGCAGTGAACGGTTGGATTTAAAATGTTGACTTTTGTCATCATTGGCAGTATATGAGTTAATACACTGCTCAAAAAATAAAGGTAACACAAAAATAAGACTAGATCTGAAGCTGAACGTGCCGACAACAAACACAAAAATTATCAATGGAAATCAAACGTAACCCACGGAGGTCTGGATTTGGAGTCGTACTCAAAATAAAAGTGGAAAAACAACAGGCTGGTCCAGCTTTGATGTCACGTCCTTAAAACAAAAGAAAATGAGGCTCAGTAGTGGGTGTGGCCTCCACGTTTGTATGATCTCTACAACTCTTGGGCATGCTCCTGATGAGGTAGAGGATGGTCTCCTGAGGGATCTCCTCACAGGGTTCTACAACCTCACAACATAATCGGTCCTTCACTCATTCACACGCTGGTGATGATGAGCTATATTGTAGCCACAGCTGCCCTGGGGCGCATTGACGGCAAAGACTGCCACACACTGGCACCACCAGTCTCTCCAACCACCACCATCAAGCAAGGCGGGTTAGGAGTCTTGCCCAGGGACACAACAGCAGCATTCTCTGGTGGGAGCCAGGATTGAACCTTGTAACTTACCAAAAGGTCAAATATTTAATCAAAAATTACCAGAAATTTACTTGTAGACACAAACTGCATCCCACATCCAGGGATGCATCACAACGCCTTTAAACGTGTCAAATTCTGATTTGTAAACATTGGATATAGACAAGGATCACTTCCTGATCTAGTTAGTTCTTCAGAGTTCACTCGGTTTAGGCCGACCAGTGAGCAAGCATTTGGGACCACCCTCTTATCTGACCTCAGGTCAAAACATTGCTCTGCAAAGCTTGCAAGTGACATCAGACACAACAGCCTCAGATGCAAAATAGACACTCCAGCTTCCTGCCGTCACCTGAAGGTATCTCAGACTAGATGGGTCATGCTCGGAGGTAGGGCTGCTCGATTATGGCAAAAACAATAATCACGATTATTGTGACTGAAATTGAGATCTCGATTATTTAGGACGATTTTTCAATTTATGTTGATTTTATTTGTTTTTATTCTGTCATAAAATTGCTCAGGGCACAATCGGACAAAATTAAATAAGAAACAAGATGATCACTAAAATAACTCCTGATTCCCAGTATAAAAAGACCAATATACTTATAGCTCATAGTTTATGACCCAAGGGCTATAGACCTTGGTTTAATTCATTTAAGTCTAACCAGTACAGACCCAAATACCAATATCTTGCAAATTCTGACAGCAAGAATTATACAGTGGCATTTATAACAAATAAATGCAAATAAATTGATGTTCATAAAATGTTGTATAACATTTATTTAGTCATGTCAAGGTGCTGTAGGAGAGTGCACTAGCACCGTGTCCTCAGAGAGATTAGTTATTAGTTATCAGCGTGAGGAACTTATTTCTACCTTATTTATAAACTATTTATTTACAGGTCCATCAGTGAATGTAATAACTGTCCCAACCACAGCTGCACCCCCCCAACCCGGTTTCACAGCAATCATGGGCAAGCTGTACGTGTGTTTAGCGCGCAGCACGCGCACATTTAGCTGTTTTTAGCGGCTCAGGAGCCCGCAGTTACGGTGTGTGTCACTCACTCTGTTTAATCCAACAGGGAACCGGCTCTAAGAGCAGTTTCTTTAGCAACTGACACATCACTGCATCATTCCCTTTCCTAATGTCCTGAAGAACGGTCCGGAGCGCAGGCGGAGTGTTTAGCTAACCTGCAAGAAATGTCAACGGCGGTTATCCAGAAAGTAGCTAAGGTTACCAGAGATGTTTCTGAGGTGTTCGCTAGGTATTTTTACGATTTAAAAAGTCAAGAAGGGGGTCTGAAAAGCTGTTAGAAATAGCGTTGAAGTCGCTAAGTTGGCAACACTGTGGGAGGAGCGCTTCATTTGCAACTCAGGGCAGCGCAAGTGGGAGGAGCAAATAATCGGCTTGTTTTGTTTTTATAATCGTTCAAACCTCAGATCGTAATTGGGATAAAAATTTGATTAATTGAGCAGCCCTACTCGGAGGTCTCCATCCTGACCTCTTGACCCCCTGGATCTCACGTGGACCTTCGTACAAGGGTGCGTAGACTCAGCACAAATGGCATCGGATGGTTTTATGAACAATCTAGCTTATTAAACCATACAGCCAAACTGATTTTAAAACTCAGACATCTGAAACATGTAGCTCACATTCCACCATTTCATTCATCATCTGTTATCCTGTACAACCATCATCCATACTTTGTCATGTTTAATCATTAGTTTAGAAAATACAATTAAACTCATTTTTATAAACTATATCCTTGACTCTGTCTGAATGAATACGAAGTGTGTGTTCCCTGAAGAGTCAAAGAACCTAAAGGAACGTTAGTTCAAATATTCAAAGATCAATCAGATTGATATTTCATATTTATATGAAACACCACATCTTATTGATCATTTAATAAATACGAAGTCAATCCACACCGCTACAACCTTCTGATAACTGGACAACCCCCTCAACCTCCTGAGCTACTGCTGCTACCTGGACTAAAACATCTGCCAGCTCCTGGACTGTCTGTGGTGCAACGTGGTGTTGGTGGATGGAGCGAGACATGATGTCCTAGATGTGTTCAACTGGACTCGGGTCTGGGAAACGGGCGGAGCAGTCTATAGCATCAATGCCTTGCTCTTGCAGAAACTGCTGACACACTTTAGCCACGGGGTCCAACATTGTCTCACATTAGGAGGAACCCAGGGCCAACCGCATCAGCATGTGGTCTCACGGCAGTCTGACCACCTCTGGTGAGCACAACTCAGGTGTGTTCCCCCGTTTTCTTATTTTAATGCATTTTTAAAGTATTGGATATCGGCAGCCACTCATAATTAAGTGACATGAACAGAAAATGTGTTGGTATCTATGAACATTTTGATAAAATATTAAATAAATGTTCCGACCTTGATGCCACGAGGGCCAGGATAGCCGATGGCTCCTTGAGGACCGTTGGGACCCTGGAGATGATCAGGAAGATGAGTTAGAAGCATAAGAAAACTAAAACCACAAAGATCTACTCTAATTATTCTAAATACACACAGAAAAAAGTTTAGGATGAAACAGATTAGGTGGTTTAAATCGACACCTACCTGGTTTCCTTTAGTGCCTGACGGACCCTCCTTTCCTGGGTGACCCTGAGAACAGAAAATGGGGCTTGAGTCTCTGGACAAATAAAAATACATAAAATCATATTTAATATTTTAAAAGGGAAACTTACAGGAGGGCCGTCCGCTCCAGGCATTCCTGGTAAACCCGGTTTTCCAGTGGGACCCTAGAAAGAAGCACAAAGTGGTCATGAGCTTAATCCGAGTACCGTATTTTCCGGACTATAAGCCGCTACTTTTTCCCCACGCTTTGAACCCTGTGGCTTATAATGAGGTGCGGCTTTACTGAAGATTTTCCTTCACCTGCCACTAGGGGGCGCTTTAACAGGAAGTGAAACAGGTGGAAGTCAAAAGTGGAAATCGAGGAAAGTGCTCATTTTAATTTAGCACATGCAAGCAGCCGGCACCACGAAGAATTTTTTTCACATCCATACCCCCTCGTCATGGTAACTACACGTATGAGTTCATATGATGCCGCATTTAAGCTGAAGGCCATTGATCTGGCAGTAAAGGAGGGAAACAGTGCTGCCGCACATAAGCTTGGCATGAATGAATCCATGGTTCGGCGCTGGAGACGGCAGCGGGAAGAACTCATTCAAGCCAGCTTCACCCGGGGATGATGACAGCAACACGGACAGCGACACTGACATCGCCACAGAAAAGGTATGTGACGAAGCTCTTCTGAGGCTGTTCAGCTCCGACACTGAAGAAGAGGACTTTAATGGCTTTAGTGCGCAAGAGGAAGATGAGAGCGAATGACTTCTTCTGGTAGGCAAGTGTGTTTTATTTACTAACCAGGCATGTTTTGTGTGCAGTTTTTATTTTCTAATCATCCAGGCCTTATTAATGCTGAGTCAGCGCTGTTCTTTTCTTCTAAACATGCAAATTACGGTAATAACGTGTCAGTGCTGTTTTTATTTTATAACCATCCAGAAATATGAATGCTATCAGTGCTGTTCTCTTTTCTAAACTTGCAGGCACGTTCACCTGTGTTTAAAATTAGTTTTGTTGAATTAAAACAACGATGAAAAACCTCCGTGTAGCGACTTTCTGTCTAATTATCTCATGTTATGGCCGTACATGCGCTGTGCGCCAGAGACCTGCATGTGGCTGCTGTGCCGCGGCTTGTATTTGAGTGCGGTGTGTGTAGAAAACCTTTTTTTTTGTTGGTGGGCTCTATAGTCCGGAAATTACAGTAACTATATAATCCAAGACTAATCCTAATTTCTAGCATTCCCAGACCCAGTGGATATAGAGTCTCACATTCCTTAGTGGATATCAGTATTTCTATTCTTTTTGTGAAACCAGTTTAACATCTATACTGCTGCTGGTTTGTCCAAAATACAAGCTGAAAAATAAGGTTCATGGATATTTTAGATTTTTGTTATTGGGGCCTCTGGTTTATGAAGACAATAGTTAAACATGAGGAAGATCTGGAACTAGCAGCAGGGTCGTTGAGGATTTCACCATTTTAATGTAATTCTAGTATCTAGGACACAAATTCTGGGTTAATTAGTTTCTCTACTGGAGGTCCAATAGCTCCCTGAGGTCCTGGCATTCCCTGCAAAAACAACAAATATAAAACCAATTATGTATTCTTTACTCTAAACGTCGTATGCAAATGCAGAAAAGACACACTGCTCTCCCCAAAGGGGATGCAGCCTGTAAATTACTATAGAGCACACTAGAGAGCTGGGGATTCTTCAGCAACACAGGAACAATAAAACTGCAGAAACGTCGGTCTGTCACATAAAGGCAATGATACCAGTGATGCAGCTTCTTACTCCTAAAAAACATCAAATGGCAGGTAGGTTGTCTCACCTGAGTTCCTGGAGTTCCCTGCTGGCCTGGAGGTCCGGGCTCACCTTGAGGACCCTGAGAGATAAAATAAAAAGTGACTGGAAGGTACAAAAGGAGTAGTAAAATGTATGAAATTACTGGTTGTACAGTTCAGATCCTACTTGTAAATAATCTGATAATTTCATGATGACATGTTAAAGTTGCTTTCCGGAGTTTTCCCGTTTCAGAAATGATGTATAATTTGTCAGAAATCCGTAAAAGTGATTGTCTCATCCTGTGATAAAATGTAAGCGATACATCTTGTTTTTTGTTTTTTTTTGCTAACCACGCCCCCTGCCCTGCAGAGCGCCGTGCAATAGGAAACTGAGCGCCAACCAGAACTAACCAATAGCGTTAGACTACCGCGTACGTGCTTCAAATTTAAGGAATACCTCGGCTGATGCAGAGTTGAGGAACTTTTCACGGACAAGAAAGTCTCTAAAATATAAATATGTGAGACCACAAAGGAGAATAATACTCGTAAAACAACGTGTTTTTGCTGTTTGTCGCTACAGAAGCACATTTATAAACAGAAATGTGAAGTCGCCATCTTAAAAAAACAGGAACAGCGTTCTTGAGTGATATGCTTGTCAGCCACTAGATGGTGCCATCGGATAAGAGAAATACTCCGGAAAGAAGCTTTAACCATTACTGACCAAATTTCCTTTGGGACCATGAGGGCCATCATTTCCTCGTACACCCTGGAAGGAGAGAGAGAGAGCATACAGTAAAAAACATTTGCTGCCCATGTGAACAACTTCCTCACTGGTTTATATCAGAGCACTTTTTTGCAGGTAGAAAGTGAAAATGCCCTTTTTATTCTTTAATCGCAGCAAATCAGACACTGGTGATGAGAAAGTCCATCATTTTGAACATCAATATCTATAAAGTTCTGCTGTATTATTCTGATTCATGAAAACAAGATAAAAACAAAACAAAAAAGTCACACTACACTAAAACAGCTGTTAGATATAAATATATGGCGTAGATGTCAAAAATGGCTGCCAGAATCCTCCCTTCAGCAGAAACTGAAGAACATCACATCCTAATTTCTGGATCAGTAGCTTTCCCGGCCGTCATATCAGGATACAGACTGTTGCTTCAGGCATGGCTGTGGGTGTTGTGTGGTTTACTTACAGGAGGTCCAGAGATTCCTGGAGGACCTTTAGGCCCGAGCAGACCACGGGGTCCCTAAAGACAAAGACAGAAACACATCTAGGGTAAGATAAAACTCAGTAACAGGGAAAACTCAAGGTCTAAAACAATACTCTCAAATTCAACTACCGTATTTTCCGCAGTATAAGTCGCACCAGCCATAAAATGTATAATGAAGAAATAAACATATATAAGTCGCACTATAAGTCACATTTTGGGGGGAAACTTTATTACTTTTCTTACAAAATCTGAGACCAAGCGTTTCACATTGCAAGACAAGTACCGGTAATAATAACAGAATAAACAATCAGGGCGCAGCAGCGCGCCACGGTCTCCAGCAGAAGATGGCGGTGTTTCAAACCCTCCCAGTGGGTGGGGAGAGCGCCCGCAGTACCCCGCACGCCACAGGCTGCAGCAGGTGATGGCGGTGTTTGAAACCCTCCCAGCGGGGCAGAGGAGCTGAAACCTGGACCGGAGCCGGCCCGCAGCAGCGCGCAACGGTCTCCAGCAGGTGATGGCGGGGCAGGGGAGCTCATTCCTGGTCTGGAGCCGGCCCGCAGCAGCACGGTACACATAATTTGGTACATAAGTCACTTTGGTATATAAGTCGCAGGACCAGCCAGACTATGAAAAAAAGTGCAACTTATAGTCTGGAAAATACGGTATGTGAATAAATTATGTGTAAATATGCACAGCCAATAAAAATCAAAATGAGCTGGTAAATCTCTTTGGTTGCCATGGAAACACTCACGGGTTCACCTGGGAGACCCCTGGGTCCGACGTCTCCATCGTCTCCCTACAAACAGAAACAAGAGTGAATAAATGCTGACAAAACTGATATAAAGTAACACAAAGTAAGATTACTGAAGTATTTTAGATGTTTTTCTGTTTCAGAGCATACCCTCTCTCCATCTTCTCCTTGAGATCCTGGTGGTCCCATTGGTCCCGGGTCACCCTGACAAGATCCAAAGCAGAAGAAATCAGAACACAGAAAACTTCATCTACTTCCAAAAAACCCAAACAGTTATTCAAGCGTCGATGATATCACATGGATACATTACACATTACCAAGAACTTACCCTGTGTCCTTTGTCACCAGGCAAACCAGGAAGACCATCAAAGCCACGATCGCCCTGAGACGAACACACAAACCATAAGGCACAACGACTACACCAAACAGAATAGATAAAAAACACAAATAATTATTATTTAGGGAATAACCTGTGTTTTTATTTGACAAATATGATAACAGAGTGAATACTTTACTTTAGATCCGGGCTCTCCGGGCATTCCCCGAGGCCCATCAGCACCAGCGCGACCCTGAGAGCACAAGCAGACAATATTAAAATGTTTTAAAACAAACTTTAAATGTAAAGTTTGTTTTTACCAACTAAAACAACCCAAATAAGATTCTGTTTGGTCGTGTTTGCAAAAAAAGATTACAGGACCAAAACGACCTTATAAAAAAAAACACAAAGAGCTATCCTGGACCTCTGAAAAAACACAAGTGTTTGTTACAAACTATAATCTCTGTGTTAGCATGTGTAGAATCTGTGATAACAACTAGGGCTGCAACAAACGATTATTTGGATAATCGATTAATCGGATGGGGTCTCGACACGATTAATCGGATTACATAGGGACATTTTTAAAAACTGCTAGGGAAACGTTATTTTTCTCTTTCCTTCACTTTATTAAACACAACATTATTAGAAAACAGTTCAATAGCAGAAAAACAACATGCCATCACCTAAATTGTCTTATAAGGTGTATAGACAGAGACCCTAAGCTACACCTATCTGTGACCTAAAATGCTTGGTCCAAGTTAAACAGCTTAAAGAGCAAGTCAACCCCTACCAGAGTCTAACTCCACTCCCACTTCATGTTTGAAAAATGCAACACATGCTGTTGCCTGGCAGACCGAGAGGGCGGAGCCGCTAACAAATACACACACACTAAGGCTCACGACAGCATTGTGACATCATAATGTACCAGTTTACATCATAGCATACTTCTTAGCCAATAGCGGTGGCAGATTTAAATTAAAATACAGTGCAGAGTTTTTACCTGACAACGGCACAACACTGCCAGTTTTAGGCAGAATATTTAAATTTTAACTAAGATGCACTGAAGTGCCAAATTATTGACGATACGTGTCTGCAGCACGATTAGA